CTTGTTGATGTGGTATGCTGTTCTGGCTGCCCAGAATAGAGCCAGGTCATATAGGTGTATGCGCTTTCTTGTCGATCTCTTGTCAATATTTCGTAGTTCCGCGGGCTTATCGACCCATTGAGAGGAGGTAGGTCCTATGAAACCGTCAGCTCTAGTCACAGAAAGGGGATAGAGACACAATGAAAGCAAGAATTTAACACACAGCACAGGCATGGGAGTGGTTGGAGTCAAAGGAGCGAAGGATTGAAAATGTCCAAGTCCGTAAGCACGAGTATGGATAGGAAAACAAATCGTGTATTCTCGGTGTATTCTGGTACATGCTGGGAAATTGTCGAAACCGAGGATGAGACGAGAATGAGTGAGGTTCATGAATGGCATTCGGTGAATTCTTAGCAAATTCCGGGAAAAGCTGGATTTTCTTACAATTCACCGTCATTCAATTCTCACCGTTTTACGCTGTGGAACGAGTACTGGGCAGCTTCTACGGGGAAGCTCATGTGGCTCAAGAGGGAGATGTTTACGGGGTAGCTCAGTGACTTTGATAGGTACCGGTCGAAGTTATACAGGTTTCGAGCTGGGAGTTCAAGATGTGGGTGGGTAAGGCGCGCGCTTGATTGCAACTTCCTTAGCAGGCAGCTTCAGGGTTAGGGTCAAATCAAGACGTGGCGAACATTACGTTTCAAACCTTCACCTCAACAACGACTCAACTTGATGGTCGGCGGCTCAAACCTCTCTATAGAGCAGACTGAGATGGCAGGAGATTCCTGTGAAGATGGTGAGTGCTTTGCTCTTTTATTTATCCGAAGTCTATATAAATCAGCGCTCAATCAGCTACGCAGCCAGAACTCAGTACTTCGAAACAGCCAACCGCAGCCCCCACTGGCACTGGGGTGACCTTGGTCAGCGAGAGACATCTCAAGGCAACCCTTAAATTTCATACATTGAATTTTGCCCCCCTGTCTTGAGCCTATACTGCACTGACACTCATAGTGGCTTTCAGGTTCATTCTTCCACCTGCATGACCCATCTGACCGGTCCTAACTCCTGACTGCTGCCTAAACCGGATTGTATCTAGATAACTCTTTCTATCTTGCAATGAGCTTCCTATCCCGACTCGTACAATGATCAGTGAAGGTGCAATTCCCTATAGCCAGGTCAATGTTGAGTCAGAGGCAAGAAGGATTGAGAGCCCTGAGCTCACAATAATATGGTGCATTGAGAATGAAACAACATCCCCTTTGCTTCCCGGGATCGCTAATGCTATTATCATAGCAATGGGGTACATGATACCAGATTCAACACTAAGTCCAAAGCGGAATATCAGTCAAAACTCGGACCAGGGGGGCGAGCAATGAGGTTATACGCACATGATCACCACGAGCGACATGTATCGGTTGTGCACACGAGTTCCCAAGAGATTTTCAGTCTCGCGTATCACTGAGAAGATCTTCCACGCTCGGGGTGATTCTTGAACGCCATCACAAACTTGAATGATAAATCCTTACCACAGCACAAGATGCGAAATTCTCAGGCTCAAATAATCTAAGGAAAATCCTAGATGTTCAGTTGAATACCCTCAGATTACTCCCGAAATATGACATCCGATATTTTTTGCATATTTGTTCACTTTCCATCACAATACGTATAGAATACTCGTATGATTTCCCCACATTTTCCTCATGTTATGCAACCTGGCAGGGACCCGGGATGTGGTACTGGCGCTGCCCGCTGCCCGCTGCTCCTCCCTGTTCCTGGCTTTCAGCTTCAATACGGTACAATCCGTCAGGCTTGGAGTATGATAAATAGAATGCAATTGCAATGGTGTACTTAAGTAGATAACAGTGATGTCAAATAGGGCCAGAGTAGCTTATTTGTCGGATGCTTCGGCAAGCACAACGGAGAAAAACCTCTGACGATACTCCTCTTGTCTCAATCTAGCATTGGCCCAGTAGCGCCTCCCACGACGTCTCGGTCGGAGTCAGACAAGGAATTCAAGTTCGTCGACGGCGGCCATGAAGGGATAGCAGGTTATGGAACGGAATTTGTTAGCAAAGGAAAGATTATCGGAGGCCGGTGAGGATTGTGGGTTCCTTCTACTGGGATAGACCGGTTAGAGCAGAAGATAATGTAGGATCAAGTCTCGGACACGTACAGTTACGGGTAAAGGAACGGAAGAGCAAGTTCCCAATCAACCGTCGACAACACTGTCAGCAACCAGTAAAAAAGAGTTGGTAAAACTCACTGCAACAGCCGGCAAGTAGCCCATTTCAATTTGAACCTGTATCGAAGACATGTTCAGACGTCGGACGATCGAACGGTCATTGAAGAAACAGGAGAAAACAGCGCTTACCATGAACCGGCTTCCTCGAAATGACGGGATCTGGACCCTGGTTACACTTTGGGGACGTCAGGTATATCAAGTTGTCGAAGGAATCGGGGAGGGAGACGCAGGTAGCCTCATATGGATGTATGCGAGAGGAGAATTCAAACGTTCGGGCTCAAATAATGTTTCATCCGACGTCTTTGGCCTGCGCGCGGTGGATTGCCTGTATATTCTCAGCGGATAATGTCAAGTAAGTCAGCGGCTACACACCATGATTCTCTTAGACTCAGCCCATCCCAGTCAGCACGATTTTTGCGAGTCCTACAACAGATCAACTTGCGGCGGGTTTGCCTTGTCTCGACTGTCGTCTTTAGGTGATCCTGAAGGATCCATCTGTCTGGTCTGAACCTTGATACTCGAGTTCTTGGAACGATAAGGCTCACGTCGTGTTGTTGTAGATGCCATCGGAGAGGATTTGGGATGCTAGTCGTGCAGATGTTGACACGTCATGGTGGTTGAGGGCAAAGGGCAAAGGGCCAGAGAATGTCTAAGTCAAAATTCTCAGGCTCTGACGCTCCGATATTTTTAGAGACGAAGAATATTCAAGACGAGTATTTTGAAGCCATGGTATTGTATGGGTAACATGAGGAATTTTTGAGATATACAACATTACCCACGCCTGATAATTTCGCGTCTTGTGCTGTGTACCAATCATTGACGTGAAGATGAAATTAATGACTGCGATCGCCACATAGAACGTAAGGTTGATAACAAAGGGTACGCCAGCATGGAACGAGTAATTTGATGAAGTCGGTGTTTCCCTTTGAGGGCCTATTGTGAGTACAAGTCCGAGGGCTGAGACCGATAGAGTGTAGGATAGTGTTATACACCGTTATCGGGACTGAGGACTCAAAACTCGACTTACCGTTACAAGCTACACACAAGACGATGGGTGCAAAGATGATCCTCCACTCGCGGTTCCATATTAGGTATATCCGGGAAATCTATTGACGTTGGGATTCTCAGTAACTAGGATGTCGAGGTGAAGATCCGTGGGGAGGACTCACAAAGACACCATCTGTGATCAAACTTCACGCCACGCGAAACTTCAACCCGGCTCATCCGGCGGACGAGAACAGAGAATACACTGACTTGGCGATCAGGAAAGAGACCCAACAAGCCCGTCTGGGAAACAATATCAGAATGTTACCACCTCCAATAACTCCCAGGACTTACAAGAGAGGAACCATGACTGAATTTTCCATGTCTGTCTCCCATCCCACATCAGAATCCCCTCCTGCTCGAAGTCGGAAACGAAACGTATCCAAACCCCGAATGATAACTATAAACGAGTTCAACCACAGCGCCGCCGTGGCAGCCAGGAACATTGCAATCATCACAAAGATGTACTGCATGTAGTTCTGTGTCTTTCGTTTTTTGAGGATGACGACGCCGGTGGTGAAGAGAACTGAGTATATCCCTGGATTAAACGGTGGGATTAAGGTCGAGAGCTCAAATTACGGGAAAATCTACCATAGAAAAGCCAGGAGATCTGTGAAAAATGAATTGAGCTCAAGGCCAGTAGAAGTTGACAGACGGATGCACCCCAATGTCAACTATTGACTCAATAAATATGGGTCGCAGAATATTGAGTAGGTCTTCGGTTCCACTGGGGCTGGGTTCCATGTCCTGACAGTTGACTGCAGCTTTGACAGAACTCGTCTTATATGTGTTCTCAAGTCTTCATTTGATGGAGAGGTAATACAGGAACAGATCGCAGGGTTGACGCTGTGGCGTTTGTATCGAGTCTATCAGTGCCCAAACACTGAGTTGAGTTGACCGGCGTTGACGGTCAATATCTGGAAGGGCGACCGCACATGTTGACCGCGTCGCGACTATAAAGGTTAGACAGATTTAAAAACGGTAGAAGAGACTGTGGCTGGGGATGGCTGTGAACACCCCGACTCCTCTCGAGTTCCGCCCGACCTGTAGACGGTCATAGTGTAATCCCGCTGCATGCCCCAGGCCGCCCTCAGTGATGTGCATACTATTACGAGTTGATCTGTTGATCTGTTTCGGTCGCAACGGAGAACGCAAGTTCGGACTCCGAGGGGGAGAGGTGGAGACCACTCTTAGCACTGCGGGAAGTGGGTAGAAAAGGGATTAGGTACGTGAGGCTGTAAGCATAGCCCACAACGGAAGGGCAAGTCTGGCAAGAAGACAATCTCTGTAAGGTAGCAGCTGAAAGACAATATTGTTCACTCACTACTTATCTGTATATTGTTAACGACTGAATATGCAGACTGTGTCCTAAATATTTAGTACCCTGTTCATGGGCCTGAACAAACCTGGGATTCGAGGTTTGTGGTGTAAACGCCGCCCAAAAGAACCAGAGTTTGCCGTGCCAGAATAGTGACAGGTCGTGGCACGCGGGATGGCTCCCCTCTATTGAGATTCTGAGATACTCCTTCGGTGTGAGATAATGTTGGTAAATCCCGGTTCTTTATAACGTTGACAATGTAGTCGACTACCAGAGGATGTTGAACTATACTGGCCTGCAAATCCTCCCTATCTGTGCATTGTCCCGGGTAATGAATTCTAAGTTCGTCCCATCGATCGCCACAATTTCCCGTGATCTCGGGTTGATAATAGAACCAGGAGCGTCAACGCTCACAATGCTGGGATGGCCGAGTCGTTAAGGCGAGTGATTTGAATCAGATGCGATTGAATTCATTATCACTTGGTGTTTCACCGCGTAGGTTCAAATCCTGCTCCCAGCGATACATTTTTGTACCCTTTTCCATTACTATTCGGTTCTGGTCAATGGGATGTTGAGGATGTTTACTGACCTATTTCAATCAATTCGGATGGGGTTTCCCGTGTGACCGAAAAATTTTCTGGCATGAATTCGGATGGCAGGTCGGTGACCGGTGACACCGGTGGAAATTTCGTATGGAACAATAAGGGATGGGGCAGGCTGAGGGAGAATCACGGCGGCTGAGAGTCGCCACCAGTCAAAATTTGCAGAATGCACCAGATTCAGGCCAAAAAATGGCAGAAAGTCCGATTTCTTGGCCTTTTGGGCCGCCCGAAATTATGTCACATTTGGGAACATTTCGGATGACCCCCCTGTGACCTAGTGACCATCCGAAAAAATTTCGGATACTGGGGGGCGTGTGACGCGTGACATCCGAATTGATTGAAATAGGTCAGTATTTGCTTTTCTGTTTTATTTCTGCCCTGTGAGGGTGTACGAGTAGGTGAGTCTGGCCTTCCGCTCTCGAGGTAAGTACTTGATAACACAAATCATGGTGTCATTTCTTAGCGTTGGCTGGGCATTGATACCATTTCTCTAGACTAAGCACCGATGTGCCAATAAGGATTGCGCAGTGTGGAAGTATTAGCATGATTGAAGAAGTGACAGGACGGCAAGCTTCTCGCTCTTGCGATACCGCTTGATTGACAGGAAACTCGAGGACGCGCGGTCTGGCTTCTCAGCCATCAGAAGGAAATGAGATCACCGAAGTTCTATTTGCCGCTCTTCCAATAATATCTCTGTTGTAAAGCTGCCAATCTGCGAGGCATCAATGGGGTAGTGGTAACCTGGGTCGTTGCCATCGTCGAAAATGTAGGGTCTCGACCCACCGGGGGTTCGATTCCCTCTTGATGCACTGTATGAGATGTGCTACTTTTTTGCTTCTGTGTGAACCTTTTGGAAGGCTCACGATACTTATTGCCTCGACCTCACCAGAGTACAACCTTTTTACGTTGGACAACGGTTTACGCAAACTCACAATATAAATTTGTGCAAAAGGTACTTACTGGTACTCAAGGGAAAATCCTGGAAAATCCCTGCGCAAAAGGGCGAGTGAGTCTCGAAGGGGCCCGGAGCCAAAGGAATTCTCCGAGGCAGGGCCGGACCGATAAGACCGATCATGACGGAATCAGTAACTACAGCTTGAACCTTGTGCACGAACCACCACCATGTCACAATCGCATTCGATACCCTCATTCCCGCTTCAGAACCTGTAGGATCCCTCACATTATTCCATTTTAACCATAGCTTACACCTCCACAGTCCATCAACAACCCACGACTTCATCTTCCGTTCACTCTCAATCCGCGATCTCTTCTCCTACCGTCTTGTCAACCAGCGAGCATGCAGCGACGTCGAAGAATACCTTTCGAGAACGTTTAGAATTGAAAACTTTCTCAAACCGTATATTCCTGTCGATAAAATCCCCGGATTTCGCCTTGTACAGAGCGAAACGGGGTGCTTGATCTCTGGATCGAGTGCGTTGTCGTTTTTTACGAGGGAGATCTATAATGGGAGTGGATTGGATCTGTTTGTTGAGTGGAAGTTTTGTGAGCGGCTTATCATGTTCTTGGTGGAGGACGTTGGATATGAGTATAGACCGCGTAGGGGAGACGGGAAGGAACAGAATGTTGAATTGAAGAAGGCGATAAAGGATATGATGGGGAAGGTGGTGAGCTCAGCATTAGATGGGAATGATAACGATGATGATGGCGATGACAATGACGATGGCGATGGAGAGGATGAAAGCGAGGAGGAAATTGGCGAGAACAGTGATGAAGACGATGGAAGTACCGACGAGGAGGAGCAGGAGGAGCGACAGAACCCGATTGAAGATAACAGCATCGTGGATATATTCTCTCTAAAGAAGGGAGATAAGCGAATCCAAGTCATCGTCAGCTTTTCAAGCCCACTTGGTATTGTTTTGGGAGCTCACTCTAGTACGTTGTGCCTTCACTAATAACTTCTATTACCTTCGTGTCTATATTGATGATGCCTTCAACCAGCTGTAGTGATGAACATTATCACACACGTCTTCGCCATATCCTTCTATCCACAAGCAACATTCATCGACGGCATCTCCTTACAGTTCTGGGGCGGTTATCACGATGCAGCTCGCGAAAAATACACCCGCCGTGGATGGAAACCCATCCACAACCTCGACGCCCTCTCCGTCGTCGATCCCAACTCAGCGTTCCATCACATCCTCCGAACACCCAAGGACAAACATTCCTGGAGCATTGTGTTACCGCCTTACATCGAGGGAATGATGTTGGATAGCACTACCGCGGTTGAGTCGTGGCAACTCACGTTTGTGGGGGATGCGGATGCCCAGCTGATGTATGGCACTACTCAGAGCAATAGACTCGAAAGAGGGTACTGCATTGCGGACGATCTATCTGAGAGTGTGGATAGAATAATCGAAGATCTGGAGGCGAAAGAGGAGGGATAGTGCGTTTTTTATTCTTTCTATTGTCCACCATTTCCCTGCTTACCCGAAAAATGACTTTCCCTACTCGTTAGCATCGATCATGCCCTTCAGAGTCGGATGTTCAAATTGTACGAAACCCACGAAATCTTATTCTTTGCCCGGAGGGGTAATCGTGAGAAAGCTGAGAAGGTGATCTTGGATGCTTTCAAGGCAGCCAGAGAACAGTACCCCACGCTTTCAAGAGACCTTCTGCCCACGGCATTTGCTGCGCTTATGTTGTTGGCGGAATTGGAGGCTTTGTTTCACACTTACCATGATCCGCCACAGGTAAGCCAGTTCACGAGCTTGCTCTAAGGAAGATACTTTCAACTAGACCGAATAGGTAACTTTCGCATTTACGCAAAACGAGCGTGGAGAGGTTTGGACGAATGTCAAAGTTGTTGTCCCAGGGTACACATCGTGGCCGAGTCGGAGAAGGGCAATCAATATCGTCTTGCCTACTGCAAATCCTAGAGCAATAGAGGACTTTCGGAAGCTGAGGGTCAGATTCGAGGTTATTCTGGAAGACGACGATACATGATATGTATGATTGAATAGTAACTAGGATTCTAGAAGAAAGACACTACTGAATATCTATATGATGTCTAACATACTATGTATCCAGCATCGAGGAACTTGTACCATAGAGAAAGATTACGTGTCTCTCATTCGGATGATAGACTGTTCACATCATTGCAACAACGAAGGCACCCTGAACGGAGTATTCGACTGTACGATACTCGAACGTAGAGTCGTTGACGAAATCCGCTAGTGGACAAACGAAGGACTTGACAAGAGCACATTACAAGAACCCACGGGACGAATTCCATGAAACCCGAATCTAGAGCGCATCATCCTCATTCATCCTCATTTCCCGGAGCAACCTCCAATCAAGCCCTCAGCTCCCTAAACTCCTCTACCGGTTCGTTGGGAATGTATAATGAGCTTCGAGGGGAACCTATGGACTGAACCGACAAGATCGCTTAGTGCCGGCGATCATCACGGAATCACATCAAGCTTGTAGCGTGCGTCCCGACCACCCGTTCTACGATTCTACGGCTTTACCCTCATTTCAAAATCTGCAACATGTTCACGCAATCTCTTCCGTCATCATACTCATAGTAACTACGGGAAATCTAGGCCAGGTTTCCTCAAAAACCGGGCAAAATACTTGAGTTTTCCCCTTACCTCGTACTTACCTTATTACAGCGTGCTGACAGCTGTACTTGAGAGAACCTTGAGCAATGCAGTTGAGTTGAACTTGAGGGAGTGAGTGAGTCAAACTTAAGGGAGTGAGTGAGTCAAACTTAAGGGAGTGAATGAGGTGGCTCAAGGTCAATGTTGAGGGAGTAGATGAGGCAACTCAAACTGTGCTCAAGGGTACCTTAACATCAACCTTGAGGGAGTAAACAAGCTGACTCAACTTCACTCAAGCCGCGCTCAACAATGCTTCAAGGTTTGTCTCAGGTCAGGTCAGGCAAACACACATGAAAGGGTAGAACAAAATATATTGTATATGTTGTGTGAATACATAGGAGTGGTGAGTACACTGCATAGTGAGGGCTGCCATTGTTCAATGTGAGCACTGTACAACATGCAGGGCTTATGAAGTCAAGTGCTAACCTTGGGTTGGGCCGGTTTCTGGGCAGGATGACATATTCGTTGACTGTGGAGAGGTTGTAAGTAGCTGAACCAGACAGACAGAGAGGGAACATGTACCAGTAGGTGACTCGGGGGCGAGTGCATATCCTGTGTTGTTGTTTATTTTTTCCTTTCTACGCTACATTTCAGTGAGATACAGAGTGGAGGAGAGGGCTGGTTTATACATCACAGTGCTTCAAAATTATACATTGCGTTAGAGCTGCTGCTATATCAATAGGCGTTCATTTAACTCAAACCATTCATCATGTTCCGTCCCACCTGTCCAAGTTTCAGAAACAAACAAGAATTGAGACAAAAAAAAGACTCACAGCAACAAATGACCTCTGTCCTCATGAACCCTAAGCACTCCATCTTCAGGTGTATACAAAGCTCTGGGATGCCAAGTTGGAAGGGACTCTGAGGATAACAAAGACAATGCACCCACTTTGTGGCAATTCATTGCTCAAGTTTGTACTTCCCTTCACTCATGTTCATACTTACAAGTCTCTTCATCATTTGCTCAAGTCCACATTTTTCTTCACTCAAGTCCATACTTTATGTACACTCAAGTCTGACTTCTTCTCTCAAGGCTATCTATTCCCTACTCAATTTTTGCTCAAGTTCCCTACCTACATTAGTACAGAGTGAATCTCAAGTTTTCTGCTCAAGTCATTCTCAAGATTTCCTCAAGTCATTCCTTCAGATATTTGTCAAGGTAATACTCAATTTGATACTCAAGTTGAATCTGATTTTGAGATCTACTACTTGAGCAGCATACTTGAGGGTGAAAACTTAAGGTAGAGGGCCTAAGGAGCCTCAAGGATTTTGCCCCAATTTTGAAGGGAAGGTGGCTGTGGAGTAGAACTACGCCCATAGCCTGTCAACAACTCACGACTTCATCTCTTCGACGAAAGCGAAGATTACCTCGCAAGGCATTTTAAATTGAAACGTTCCTCAAACCGCATATTCCGGTTGGTCAGATTTCTAGATCTCCCGTAATACAGAGCGAAACGAGATGTTTGATTTCGGGGTCGATGCGTTGTCGTTTTTTACGTGGGAGATCTACGGGGAGAGTGGGTTGGACTCGTTTCGTGGCAATTCAAGTTTGTTGGGGAGGCAGACACCTGAATCACGTACGGCACCCTTTGAAGTTTGGGAGTGACGATTTTGAAGGGGGATAATCCATTGCGGAAGATCTTTTCGACAGTGTGGAGAGGATGATAGATCGCCTGACTGGCTTGGGGACCCGAGGTGTTGACGGGAAGATACAGTGGGTCTTATCCGTTATCTGTGCACAATGATTGGATGTTTTCTCTTACCTTGCCTTTCCTTTTAGCACGGACGAGTCCTTCCGGAGGGGGTTGTTCGAGAGTTGCACTTTACCTCAACAGATCCATTTGTGAGCCCTAGAAGTAGTCGTGCGAGAGCTTGACAGGAAACTCGAGGCCGCGCGGTCCAGCCATCGGAAGGAAATGAGATCACCTAAGTTCTATCTGCCACTCTTCCAATAATAATGTTTGATGTACTGCTGCTGACCTGTGAAGCATCAATGGGGTAGTGGTAACCTGGGTCGTTGCCATCGTCGAAAATGTAGGGTCTCGACCCGCCGGGGGTTCGATTCCCTCTTGATGCACCGTATGAGATGTGCTACTTTTTTGCTTCTGTGTGAACCTTTTGGAAGGCTCTCGATACTTATTGCCTCGACCTCACGAGAGCACAACCTTTTCACGTTGGACAACGGTTTA